TTACAAAGGACGACTGGAATACTTTTGATATTGATCGGTTGTGGCTTATAAATAAAATGTGAGATAGCAAATTGTAAAATGAACAGAAGGTTAAATGAATACTCTTTGCAGGTTTATCGAGTGGTTTACTTAAGTATTGTATTGGGTTGTGTTTGGTGTAGTGCAAGTAGTGGTACAAAAGGCGTTGGTGTGCATAGAGACGCCCGTGCGAAGCAACAAGCTAATAGAATAGTAGATATGATTGTACCTTTGCTTAACTTGCATATAATTCATGAGAAACGAATAGCTCTAATCAAGAAGCACAATCTAACCCAATGCATTGCTAAAGCCAAAGAACAAGAGGATTCTAAACAGCTGAGTCTAAGTCGAACCAACAGTGGGTGCTTCGGCCCAACTATGATTCTTTACAAACGTATAGCAAACCGCCCACTATCTCTAATAGTCAGAGAAGTATTGATACAGAAAAGTGCATCAATAATAGTCCAGAAGCCATTAGACTACTTAAAGAGCTGGATCAATGGAGAGAATATAGACAACGAGAACTTAGTTCAAATGAGTGAGATAGTAACCCTAGTAAACCAACTGAATAACATTAAGACTGACCTATTGATTCTAGAAGCACAACTACAGGCCGACGAACTCAAGCGAATACCAGTACACTTAGAAGAAGAAATAGCCACGATTGAAACCAAACTAATCAAACTAGCCGAGCGTTACGATTCCAACGCACTAAACAAGCGGGGCAAAGAGGCTAAGAAAGAAGAAGAAGAACTAGAGCAATTGTCGAAAAGGGGAGATTTTAGAGCACTGGCCGAACTACTTCTAAAATCGGACAAAGAGGTAGAAAAAGGAGTATCTAAAGCTGAGTTGGCAATGTTAGATAAGGCCAAAGAAATTATAAACGCTACAAATCCAGAAGCAGACGAAGTGGTGACAGGTAGTAAACCCACAAAGACAGGCATGGTATACGGGGCGATCCAGCGCAAGCTAACTCAAATCAGTGGATATAAAGAAATGAAGGCCCCAATAGCGATTGGTCCCAAGCCCATAAAGTCACAATCACCCATCTTACCAGCCCGACTAAACGCCTCCCAAACAAATGAACTTGTCATAAACAACACACTTCATCTAAAAGCCAGCACAATCGATTATATTTCCACTCTCTACAAGGCCAATCCTTGCTTAAACCCTATTCCCCGTGCTCTAATTTTCTATCAGGAACCAAATTCGATTGGAGAACAAATGTCATTTTTTGATAGCGATATAATTAAACTAACCGAGTTGGATCAAAAAGATTGTACACTTATGTTAGACTCAGAGCAAGAAAAGATCCTCCAGAACTTTATAAGTAGCGGCAACAGTTACATGTCATCAGAGCAACCACCCTCTGTTTGGAGAATGTTTGATATCAACGAAGCTGATCAATCCAAAAAGTATGGACTATATAGTACTGGGTCGGAAGGTAAAGATAATCTTTCCCTGAACCTTGAGTGGAAAGAATGTGACCTGGTGGTGTTACTAGATATCTTAAAGAAGTTCAGCAAAATCATACTCAATGTGAAATCTGTTAAGATAAGGTGTATGCGAGCCCCTGCTAGTTGGTTAGTCCTAGCCCAACTCCTAACACTGTTCGAAACCCCAGAGTTGAGTGCTACGAAGAAACCTCTTGATATCACTATCCAGGCAGTGAATAGAATTTGTCCTTCTTCTGTGCTATCATTCAATGATGTTGACTTACAAAGCCTGTTCCGCAACCAGATCGAGGAGATCGAAGAGTCGCGATACATTATCAACCTGACAGTTAATGAGCTCACAACGGCTATAAAGAAATTCGTTTGGCCACTAGTAACCCACTTCCCAACATCCCTTATAGATATAATCTACCCCATTGTGGACAAGATAGACTTTCTTGATGACGTCAACTGGATAGACCAATTCACCCTCGGCTTAGAATTAGACTACCAAAAGGACACTATTGTTAGTTTAGGTGCCAGGACCGCGAAAGGTAAAGATCTCCCAACTTGTAAATACCTAAACATCTGCACAAACTATCCATATCTAAAACAAGCCTCGGAGTCTACCAGCTCCTCAGAGTCTACCAGCTCCTCGGAGACCTATGCCGTAAATCGTCTATATCCAAAACAAGCCTCAAGGTCTACCCGCTCCTCGAAGACCTATGCCGTGAATCATCCATATCCAAAACAAGCCTCAAGGTCTACCAGCCCCTCAGAGTCTACCAGCTCCTCGGAGTCTACCCGCTCCTCGAAGACCTATGACGTAAATCATCCATACCCAAGCACCCCCCTAGAATCTACCAGCTCCTCGAAGATCTATGTCGTAAACCTTGATGGATATCTACAACCCAAATCTTCTAATGAGAAGGACAAATTCTTAACTACAAATCTATTATTGACCGCTGATGTTTTAGTATCCTATGCAACCTTTGGTCTTAATCAATCAGTAAATGTCCAGATGGTGAGTGTATCGCGAATAACGCACAACTACACTACTGATGACATGATCGCTCTTAACCAAGAGTTGGTTACCTCCTACAAAGTGCTAACCCAATTCGACAATCCGCTGATTAAGTTCTACCAACAATTACTTGAGGATGGCAAACAACTGACTAGTTTCTGTCAACAATTAACCCAATTCAACAATCAACTATCTGCACTCTACCAACCATCCGGCAACGTTAACTTGTTTGCCAACATCAACCCCAACGATGACCTATTCGACTTTTCTATCATAACCCAATATGTGAATTGGGGGTGTATGAGAAATCAATGTGATTGTGTCCCAGGCCCTTTCTCATGGCCATTCTCTAACCTAATATCCGCAAAATACACACCCCCACCCAAACCTACCAAGCAATCAGCTCCTAACCGCTATGGCCGTATGAGGGGAAAGTTCCGCCGCATGAGGGAAAAGTCCCGCTTATTCAGTAGTACTCATACTAACCTAATGAACGTGGAGGACTCTCTGCGCTTTATTCGGGAAATGAGCGCTTCTTGGGTGGTATGATTTGACGATCAAGAAGAAGTAATGTCTCGGACACTTCCCTTTGGATTCCTCTGTTAGAGACTCGCTGCTTCCCTCAGATATCTAACGCTCGCTTATCTAGTTGAGATCTAGATGAATCCCATCGAAAGATCTCTAGAACCTCCGTATCGCTATAACTAATCTCTATGTCGTTGAGATCTAGATGAATCCCATCGAAAGATCTCTAGAATCTCGATATCGCTCTCTTCTTATCTACATCTTAATCTACATCTTAATCCTAATCTAGATAGTAAAACTTACTACTACTCTTTATAGTTATAATGTTGATCTAATACTTGTAGATTCACTGCTACCAATTGCTTATCTCGGATCTCCCAGGATTAGAATTGAAACATCTCGTAGCTTAGATGATGTCGAACAAGGAAGATTAATCTCTTAACTCTTTACGATTCCTCACTCCTCGTCCGCTAATTAAATAGTGTTGGGAATCCTCATGCACAACACTAGCTAATAAAGACCTTCTTAGCCACTCCGGTTTATTGTAGTCCCATTAACAAGCATGTATATAGTGTAACAAGACGAAACAATCATGAATATCAACATTAGTCTTGGGCTGTTATACAATATGGTTGTGTCCTATTGTGTTGGGTTTGAGTTGGTATACGATTCTGAGCAGTTTCTAGATCTGGTATAGTCTTCTGTAAGTCCTTCATGTATGTCATAGAGATTCGTATAAGGTCCTGGAAAGTCCTTTATCAATCTGCGTCGTATATTTATACTCTAATTGAGTTAGTATTGAGTTGGTTTAGTATTGAGTTAGTTAGTGTGGTGTTTGTATTATTCCTCTACGCATCTTAATGAGATTCTCAAATCATTTCTACTTTAAAACAAGCAAGTACAGATAATGTAGATATTTATTCCTTACTACTTTAAACAACCTAATACTAACCCAATACAATACCAACTCAATAAGAATACAAATGATATCAAAATTTACCAAATATACCATAACTACTAAATTTTAAATTATGACGTCATCACACACGTATCAGCATATACAAACAATAAATGTCCGACCCCACCATATCAAGTTACTCTCCAACCAATACTAATTTCAAAATCTATACCAAACCAACAAGTATCTAATTTAATAACTTATCTCAACTTATCTCAACTTATCTCAATACTAAACTTATCTCAACTTAACTCAACTTATCACAACTCAATACTAAACCCAATACCACCCCATCCTAACTCAATCCAATACCAAACTCAACTCAACTCAATCTAAACTCAATCTAATCTAAACCCAATCTAAACTCAACCCAACTCAATACCAACCCAATCTAAACTCTTTTTTTATTTTACTCCCTGTAGATGAAGATCCTCTTAACTGAAGAACGTGTTTCAATTCCAGCAGGATGCAAAGTAACTCAAGACAACAAAAAGATCATTGTAAGTGGTAAGAGAGGAACTGAAACCCTTGATATTTCTCATATGTTATTGACCGTTGATATCGAAGAGACTGAGTTGTTTGTGCGATTATGGACTGTTCCTAAGAAGCATACTAAGATAGTTAAGACTTGTGCTGGTTTGATTAATAATATGATCATTGGTTGTACTAAAGGCTTTTCTTATAAGATGAAGGCTATTTACAAGCACTTCCCTATTACAGTCTTAATTGAGAATGAAGGTAAACGGGTAGTGATTAAGAACTTCTTAGGAAGTAAGTGTGATCGGATTATTGATATGAGAGGTAGTGCTGTAGCCCGTTTAGATTCAACTAAGGATTACTTCCTTATTGAGGGTCCTAATATTCAAGCCGTATCTCAATCTGCTGCTAATATCTCGCAACAGTGCATTCCTAAGAACAAAGATCTACGGGTCTTCCTGGATGGTACTTTTGTGGTTGCTAAAGGAACTATTGACGTCGATGAATAAATTGGATTAGGTTAACTTTAAGTTGTGTTAGTATTAGTATTGTGTTAGTATTGCTTTAGTATTGCTTTAGTATTGCTTATCTAATACGTATCTTATCTAATGCTTATCTTATCTTATCTAATATTGTTAACTAACTTAATCTACTTCAGTACTTACACTAACTTAACTCAACTTAACTCAACTTAATATGACGTCATCCTATTTCAACTTAACTCAACTTAATATGACGTCATCTTTATTTCAACTCAGCCATATTTATATAATAAAAAACACCACTTAACTCATCTCACGGTATATCTTTAATAAAGGGTTAGTATTTAGTATTAGGCTGTGTTGAGTTTGGGTATTACAGTTAATAAAGACAACTTAATCAAATAGTACCTACTACACACTTAATCTTATCTTTAACTTATCTCAAACTTAAACTTAAACTTATCTTAACTTAACTCAATCTCAATCTTAACTTATCTTAAACTCAACTTAATCTCAACTCTAATACTAGCTCAACTTAATCTTAAACCCAACACCAACACCAAATCCAACCAAATCCAAATCAACACCAACTCAATCTTAACTTAATCCAATTTATTCCTCTATCTCTTCTGGTTCATCCCGGCGCATGAAGTAGTAAACTCCATTGACGTACATGTCACTGAGAATTTGGAAAGTATTCAAATTATCATCTTCATCGGGAATCTCTTCCGCAGTAAAGAATCGAATCAAAGGACAGTCAAAAAGTGCACGTTTACCTGGTTTCCAGTTAATAGCAGTCCATTTCTGATCTTGATTTGAATCGGCAAAGAGTGAAAACTCTTTAGTCAAACTCTGATTATCAAAGTATTCATTAGGTCTTACCTTTATCTCTACCCAGAACTTAAAGTCCGGCCGATAGTCCACACTTAAACTCTCTATCCAGTCCAAAGGAATACATTCTTCCTCTCCTTCCTTGCAGTTTTCTTTACCCAAGAGAACATAGAAGTAATCAGAATTACAGAAAACAGTTGACCAAAAGCCATCTAACTCCTTAGCATACTTATCCCTTCTTTCTAACTCTTCTTTTAGTAGGGCAAAGTCTTGTTGTTTACTATTGAACTCTTTCTTGAGTACTTTTAGATTGGTGGCATCAAGTGAATTTTGAATGGCAATGAGTTCTTTGAGTGTATGTTCGGAGTTCATTCAAAATTTTTAGCGGCAATCCATGAAATACCTTGAGTTAGACTGTTTAGCAGGGGTTGCAGGTGATCTCGGACGTATTGAGGAGTTAATTCCTGGAATTTCGTTACGTTTGGAGGTTTATTCGCTTAAAAAGACCAGAGAACAAAAGAAGATAAGTCGATCTGGGAAGTATACTAGTTATTCAGCGATGATTGCCGAAGCTCTTAACTTGACTTTCTTTGGATATGAACTAGCTGTGCATTCTCAGGAGTTACGATCAGTAGATGAAGAATCTGCTAAATCTGTTTTGGTAAGTAAGTTGTTTACTTTGGGGATAACTAAGAGTTATACTGAGATGGTGCAGTGGGTGGATAGGGTTTTTGTAGTGATAAGAGAGTCGGTGGGGGAGGAAAGTGCGATTTTACGGGTGGAGAAGAGGACGGGACCTTTTGAGAAGTGTTTTTGGAGTGAGTGTTTGGCCTTTTATGGGAAGGATATGAAGCGATTGTTGATCTTTGTAGTGCTGTATGGAAATCAGGCAATCCATTCGCCAGTGCTGTAAATGATAATAAATTAGGTTTTGAAATAGTATGTATGTGTGTGGTATTGGTGATGAGGTTGTGTTGGTGTTGGTGTGGGGTTGGTGTGTCTTAGAGATAACTAACTCAATAACTAACTTAAGATGTTGGGTCGTTAGATAACCGCTACTTCTTCCTCGGATTGAATCGTTTATTTATTGATTGATTGGGTTGGTATTGAGTTGGTATGACGTCATATCATTATCTAAATTCAATAAATGGCCGGGTGTGTATTAGTTAAGATGACCTTCGTATTGGGTTGGTATACACTCCCTATGCAATCCCAACTGAATACTAACTTAAGATAATCGTAACTTGAAATTGAAAATGGAAATGAAAAGTAGTTTAGTTTAGGATTTGGTTTGGGTTGAGTTTGGATTTGGATTTGGATTTTTGTAAACTTAAACATGATAGGCCAATAGGGTTCTTTATTGACTTGAGTTGAGTTTGAGATAAGTCTGGGTTGGTATAGAGATAGGTGGGAGATAGATATAAGCATGAGTTTGATATAGAGATAAGCATGAGTTAGTATAGAGATAAGTATTAAGCATGAATTTGAGATAGATATAAGCATGAGTTGGTATAGAGATAAGTGAGAGATAAAAAAGAAGTAGAGATAGAGATTTATTGTTGGTTACGGACCTTTTTGGCAAGATCTTTGGCATCTTGATACCTTCTCTTGTTCTTAATACGTGGGTTACGCTCTTCCTTCTTTTTGGAACGCTTTTCGGTATGGAGACGGTTCTTTTCAATCACGTAGTTGATGGGACGACGGGTGGAAGTTGGATCTTCATTTTGGATGGAGTTTGGCTGATTGTCACTATCACTGTCTAATTCGTTATCTATTTCAGTATCTAGGTTTTTATCTGTGTTGTTAGTCTTGCTTAGTTGTTGTAGGATCTGAGATTGGGCGGGTTGTTTTGGTTTGGCCTTATCTAGTAAATCAAGATAAACACTGAGTTTAATCAATGTATCTTTAGCGGGATGGCTGGGTTCGACTTGTTGGTAGAAGATGAGATTGAGTAGATAGCAACGAAGAAGGCTTTCTTTAAGAGAAGAAGACGTAGGAGATAGTTCAGATAGGGCCTGTTTGACCTCTTGAGGGTTTTTAAACCGGAGGGGAATAGAATGGGTGCTGGAATCAGTTGTAGAGTTAGATTGTGAGGGGAGTGTATCGATCGTCATGCAAAAATTTGCGATGGACTCGAGATCTAAGGGGGAATTACGGTTGGATGGTCGGGAAATGGTGGAGATAAAAGTGCCAGAAGGCTTAGAGGGTGAGATTTACATGCGGGAGTATCGACATGGCGGTCGAGTTGGGACTGTTTTGATTAGTAGAGATAAGACGTATCGGTTGGTATGCCGTGAAGATAGTAATACTAAAATGGTGCGTAGGGGTGGAGGAGTTCTATCAGAGATAAAGATGTGTTTGGAGTGTAGTGAGTTGAAGTATGGTTCGAAAGAAATTGCTGAGTTGGTGCCCGAAGTAAGACTAGAGGAAGTTAAGGAAGAGAAGTTCTATGTGCCAATGGGAAGGGTAATGGAGATGTATCCCATGTCAAATGAAGAGTACCAGAAGATTATGCAGGAGATAGATGGAATAATTATTACGCGGGGGGATCGGGTTTATTTAGGGAAGTTAGCTAAGAAGTTAGTCTTGGATGTCTTAATGTTAGTGCGGAGTTTGATTATTAGTAAGCGCGAGAAGTGTTCGGGGGTGATTAAGGAGGAGTTTAAGGAAATCTTTCCTGAGGAGTTGTACCAATTAGTAGAGAGATACAGTGTAGATGGAGTGTTAGATCCGGAGCTGATTCAGAAGGAGATAGTGAAAGTGTTACGACTAACAGTAGATAGTGACGAGGAGTTTCAAAAACAGATGAAAATTAACCGATTGGGTTAGTATTTGGGTTAGTTAGAGATAGGACAATAAAGATATAATGATGAGTTTGGTTAGTATTGAGTTTAGTATTGGGTTTAGTATTGGGTGGATTAGATAGAGTGTTATGTTTATATACATGCTTTATTGGGTTAGGATCGCGCGTCTGTGGAGAATGATTCTTCTAATGCATCAAAGTATTCATCACCATCATCAGAATATAAAGGTAACTCCTCTTGAGGTTGGGGTTTTTTGGCTGGGGGTGAAGCTTGAGTGGTTGGTGGTGGGATTGATGCGGGCCGTGGTGGAGTTTGAATAACCCGTGGTGGGCTCGGTGCACTTTTGGATAGGGGTTGGATGGTTAGTGGCGGGGTTGGTACATACTGAGGTGGAGCTTGGATACCCGGTGGTGGACTCGGTGCGCGTTTGGTTGGGGTTTGGATGGTTGGTGGTGCTGCGTGGACTTGAGGTGGAGATGTGGTGCTTGTGGGGAGAGTTGGAGGTGGAGTTGGAGGTAAGTTGGCATGTGATTGTTCTTTTAGGATTGGTTGCTTAGAGCGGGTGGTTGCCTTTCTAGTAGAGGAATGGACAGATCGGGGGCGAGAGGATGTTGCCCTTCGATGGCGAGAACTCTTATGCAGAGCTCCGCCGGATTGGTGCCGCCGTGATTGTTTGATAGGTTGTGCCTGATATGATCCTTCACTGTCTGCAACGGATTCATCATCACTGGGGTTTTCCTCGTCATCGCTGTCAGTTTCCCAATCAGAACTAGAGGGTTGTTGGTGGACATTGGCATTAGAAGTTCTAGGCATAGAGGTTGTGCTACTTGGTGTACGATCAATGGTAGGATAAATAGACTGGTAGGGCGGAAGGGATTGAGTATGAGCTGTAGGCTTCTGGCCGACGGGGGTAGGGTACAGACTTAATAGATAGGCAACGTCTTTCTTATTCGCTTGATGGACCTCTTTGGCTATAGTATCTGAATCCATAGTAACATGGAGTTTTCGTAATCTTTCCTCAATATCTTCCCAGTAGTCACTTTGCGTTCGGGTGGCGGGAATGGGAAGAGTTGTGTCAAAATCAAATCGCGAGCCAAGCGAATCTGGAATAAGGTTAAGAGGAACATCTTTTAAATGACCGAGTGGTGCAGGAAAGGCATAGGGGTCCGTACTAAGTGACTTGATGCCGATGATTTTAAGTGGACTTGGCCGGGCAGAGGGAAGACTGAATATGGTAGTTTTGGGTGATTCGTTGTAAATAAAGAGTTGTTGGACAGATCGATCAACCAGAGGGGCAATAGAAAGAAAGTCTTGTATGCGGGATTTAGTGAGCATAAGCACATGCAGATTGGGTGCATCCAATCGACGGCAGAATAGATCTGTAAATTCAATATCGAATATGTTAGCGTTACTTATCTGATCCTGAATGGTTAATGAGCCTAGAGCAGGCATGCTAATGGGCGTACTTATACTCGAAATGTCTATAAAGCAGCTATGGATTATTAATATCAGGACGTTGGGAAATGCTTGTAGTAGACTTTCGAAGACCATTTTCTCGCCGTTGTAAAAGTTGCACTCATAGATAAAGAGACTTTTGACCTGGGGAAGTGGGTCGAGTGAAAAAGGAATGCCCGTAGTGATGTACTGGATAACTATAGATTCGACCTGTGTATCGCTGATCATATTCAAAATATTGCTGATCTCTTTCGAAATCACAGTTTCCGGATAATTAGGCGCTAGCTTCTCGATGGGACTATGGTCCATATCTAAGGCAATCAGACTCTTTTCAATGAGATCAGCGGTTTTGTGAGAACCAAGGAAGCGTAAGAGGTTTTTGACCTTATCTGTCATATGGGTTTCGGCCTTCTCGTTGGGGAGAGCATTTTCAATTATCAAGAGCTTGACATCGTTCTTGAGTTCAATGATTTCATGGTAATAAATGCGAATTGCAGCGCTCCGGAGAGAGATCCAGCCACATCCCGAATCTTCCTCAATGATCTCAACAGTGGGTGCACTAGATACATGCCGTCGTTGAGCCATGAAGAACTCGCCCGACTTGTAAATCATCTCATACACGTTGACCGCCAGATTGGCTGTACTCGTTACAGCATCATAAGCCGCTCCGCGAAATATGCTACCCACCTCGGCTATCTTCTTGCTAGTGACGGAGGTTTGAAAGTTCTTTATGTCCTTGACATCTCTAACAACCGCGCTAATTGCACGAGAAACACCTTGAACAACAGTTTTAACTACTCCAGGCACTTGCCCACCAGTTGGATCATCAAGGCTAGTCTGAAGATGCTCTTTCTGTTCCCGTAGAATATCCATTTGAGCGCCTTCCGGAACAGCGCCGTCAACTACGGCTTCTACTGTAGGCATTTGGCTAACTGCCTCCTCGCTTTCAGCATTATCATCTGTAACCGCTGGCTGTCCACTAATCAACGATGTGGCAGCGCTATAGATCGGCTCAACCCAACTGGTAATGGATGAAAGGCCAAAAGAGAAGCAGTGTGCCGTACTGATACTAAGAACGACCAAAGCAGCAATGTAGGATGTTTTGATTATCATAATCAATACTCCTAGAAATCTACTTATGCGAATAACGGTTTATTGGTTTGGTGTTAGTAAAGATAATACGTGGGTTAAATAGCCCCTGGAATAAATAGCTGTTTCTGATCCATACGTAGTGCAATTACATCCTTGCTCTTGATGCAGGTTGCCGAGAGTTTCTACCATGGACTGAGAGAGAGAAACGCCACTATTCCATATGTCCAAGCAGACCTTATAAACTGTCTGTTTAGACCGTAGGAGCACGGCCAGTTTTAAAGTCATGGCGTACGCCTCAATGCACGCAGCGGAGCGGCCGACAAACAGCGTTGAAAAAACTCCACGGGCACTGCTGCGCTTCCAAACTTCATAGAGAAAGATCGCTCCTTTGATGATGTCTGGAGTTTGGCCCCGATTTATCTCTTGTAGCATTTCCTTTTGGTACTGGGTCGTGACTTGGATAGTGTTCTTGATGATCAGACAGTAAGTCGTGCTATTCATTAGCTTCTCAGGATATTGACGAATCACTTGGCTGGCAATGTAGGAGATGTTATCGTACCTCTCTAAATGCAAGAGAATCGAGAAAGTATTTTGAATCCTCTCCATCTCATCAATATCCAGTCGGCTAACCACACTACAGACCTCAACAATGCGTTCGGTCCAATTATCCACGGCCCGAGCATTTACCGCGCAAATCATCAAGTGAATGACTCGTGCTGAAAGCCGGACCATGCGCAGGTCAGACAAACCATCGGCAATTGACTCGCGATAAATCTGCCAGCCTTCATCATACTTCCGGAGTTTCATGCAGAGACTTAGCATTGCTTCAGAGGACCCCTCAGTTTTGCGGCTTTCCTGCCAGGTGCGCATGGATACTTGCCAGTGGTGCTCCTTGTACTCCCTGTTGAACCAGGCACGCATGCCGGCATATATTTCCAAGCGCGTTTTAGCCGGCAGTCCCGCGGCATCTCTGGTCTCTTCAATCGTAGCAATATCGGGCAGCTGCTCGCCACCAATGGGCAAAGTCGCAGCCGGTTCCAAGCGCAGATACTCCAGCAGCCGGCCAAAGACCCATTGCGGCGTCCGGCCTTGTTTGTGCAGGGAAGCCAGCAAAGCCAACTTGAAGGTTTTAAGAGTATGTTTTCCCTTGAGATTGTAGACAATAAAGAACCTTTCAAACTCCTTACGCAAGTAGAGCAAGTCTAAGATTTCCGCGAAGACTTCTTCATCCAAAGCCACGCTAGCGTTGCGCTTCATCAAATGATTAAATACTGCTAGAGACAAAGATTCGATCTCCTGCTCGCAATAAAGATCAAAGTTTGTGAAATGCAATGGTATCTTATCTTTTTTGGCCACCAACGCCAAAATACTTCGTTCAAATGCACAAATAGCCTTAAACCCCGATACACTAACCCCAGGATTATGATGGGTTAGACAAAAAAGAGCGTTCGAATACAGCGCCAATCGATGTCCCACCGGACTATGCACCGAGCATTCCCTATTCGGACAACAGCGAAAAATCTCCGCAATCTCTTCTTTTTGACCACTAATCATGACCGAAATAACACTACCAACCGCCAACTCGCCAACTACCTGGCCTTCAGGCGGCATAGTTCCCAACTCCACTAGCCCCGACTCCGATTCAGAGATCGTAGCTGAAAGATAAGCATTGCTCCTAGGCATTGTCTGCTCCTGCATATTCAAAATAATCCCAAGGTCTTCTTTGTTACATATGTTTTAGGTTTAAAAATTCCGATCTGATAATGTCATTTTTATTACCATATTTAGTAATTCTTTAAATTAGACATGAATGACGTCATCCTTCACAAATCAATCCCAATCACCCCCTTTTTTTAATGGAAAGCAAACAAGTTCCCCGTGAAGACAAAAAGGATGAATTAATGGAAATTGAAACCAATGTTGCCGCCCAATGGCAAAAACACAAAGCTTATGAAGCAGAACCCCTTCCCATCCAAAAGAAGTACTTTATTACCTTCCCCTATGCCTATATGAACGGAAAACTCCATCTAGGACACATGTTTAGTTTCAGTAAGGCCGACTTTACAGCTCGTTACAAACGATTGCGCGGCTTTAATGTTCTTTTCCCTTATGCCTTCCACTGCACAGGTATGCCTATTAAAGCAGCGGCTGATAAGTTAAAGGCCGAACTAAGTGGTGCTAAGGCTACTGGACAGAAAGAGATTCTCCTCAGTATGGGTATTTCACCCCAGGAAATAGAATTGTTTGAAGATCCGACTTACTGGCTGAGGTACTTCCCTCAACGGGCTATTGAGACACTAACTCGCTTTGGAGCTCCAGTTGATTGGCGGCGCTGTTTCATTACTACTGATGAGAACTTCTTTTACGACTCGTTCATTCAGTGGCAGTTTCTGAAACTAAAGCACCAGAGACGCATTGGATTTGGCAAGCGGCATACGATCTTCTGTCCTAAGGACAATCAGCCGTGTATGGATCATGATCGACAAACAGGTGAAGGTGTTCTTCCAGAAGAGTTCTCACTAGTTAAACTCCCAGTTACTGTTGAACAGCAAACTTATACTTTACTAGCTGTGCTTAAGTCGGCTAAACCGAGTAAATGTGTGCTAAATAGTGAGACTAAGTATATTCAAGGTCAGCTAGATGGCGAGTCTGTTGTTCTATCGGCCGAGTCGATTCTTAATCTAGTGGCCCAGAATCATACGTTTGAGCAGACGGGCGAAGTGCTTGGAGCCAAATTAGTCGGAGCGCAGGTAACTTACCGGCAGCAAAGTATGACTATTGAGGGCACCAAAGCAACTAGCTTGCCGGCCACGCAAATCATTCTCTCGGCGGCAGCAACTAGTAAAGAAGAGGATAAGGATATGGGTAAAGAAGAGGATCAGAAAGAGACCGAATCGGAACGGGTGATTGTGTACTTTGAGCCAGGGGCGCGGGTAGTTAGTCGATCGGGAGCTGTATGTGTGGTGGCTCTAGTTGACCAGTGGTACATTGAGTATGGCGAGCCGGAGTGGCAGGCACAGGTACAAGAGTGCATTGAGGCGATGGACCTGACAGATGAAACCCGGGAAGCACTTAATTCTGGACTGGCTTGGCTATCTAAATGGGCATGCAGTCGTGGGTATGGGTTAGGTACTCGTTTGCCTTGGGACCCCCAGTACGTGATTGATTCACTTAGTGACTCAACTATTTACATGGCTTTTTATACGGTTTACCATTTACTAGCCCAAGATCTGTACGGCGAGTCGCCATCGATCGATACGTCAATTATTGGTTATGAGTTCTGGGAAGGTATTTTTGGCAAGGAAGAAGCCTTCTTACATCTGATTGAAAAGCATCCTAAAGAATCAAAGTATCTGCAAAAGATCCGAGAGCAGTTCCTGTACTTCTACCCAGTTGATTTACGACCTTCGGCTAAGGACCTGATTAACAACCATCTTCTTTTCTTTATCTATAACCATGTTTCTTTATTTGATAAACGGTTTTGGCCAAAGAAGATCTTTACTAATGGCCACGTTCTTTTGGATAATGATAAGATGAGTAAAAGTACGGGTAATTTCTTAACCGGAGATGATGCGATTGCTAAGTTTGGAGCAGATCCGGTTAGACTTACTTTAGCTGCCGCCGGTGATACTAACCAGGACTCTAACTTCTCCCAACTCGCCTGTAATGCAGCTATTCTTCGTATCCATAAGGTTCTTAAGCAAACCTTATCCCTTCTACCCAGCCTAACAGCTTCTCTACCAACAATGCTAAACCTGACTCTACCTCTCGGCCCTTTCCTGGCCAAACTAGAAGCATTCCTCACTGAGTCTTTACCAACGACTTTCTCTGAAGACACCTACTTCTTTAACCAAGTCAATACGCTTAAGAACACTACGATTACTAACTATAATGCTCTTTTCTTCCGTGAAGCAACTATTCATGGTTTCTATGCTTTAGATACACTAATTGAGAACTACAGTCGATCGGCTACGCCCAATTCTAATTTACTCCTTTATGCCCATTTACTCTTCTGTGTTCTTAACCACCCGATCATTCCGCATACAACTGAGCATATTATGCAAGGCTTCTTTAATACGCAAGAGATTGTCTTTAGCAACAGCGCTACTCCTATTCTAACACCATCTACTCTTAATACTGAGGTAGTTGCTATGGGCGCCTGGATAGACAAAGTCTTAGTTCATTTGCGGAAGAGCATTCAAAGACACAAGAAGAAAGGATCTATTACTGCAGCTACTCTTCGACTTTTACCCGATCTTTTGCCCTGGCACCGATTGGCTCTTTCTCTTTCCCAGGAAGAGGCCAAAGCCACGGACTGGTCTGCCCACGGCATTAATCTACCAACTGTTCTGCAGTATCTTTCAACTAAGCCCACTATTCTTCCCAACCGTGTGGCCGCTCTCAACCAGGCTCTAGCTAAGTTCAGCACTGAGCCCGGCATGCCCCAGGCTTCCGCTGAAGCTTCATCCGAAGGCGGTCTTGATCTACCCACGATTTCATTCTCTATGAAGTAATTAGATTAGATTAAGTTAAGTTAAGTTTTGATTAAATTTAGGCTAAGTTTTGATTAGATTAAGTTAAGTTTATTAAGCCATTGTGTTAGATTGAGTTGGGTTTTGATTAGATTGAGTTAAGTTATCTTTGCCTATCCAATGCATAGATCTAGTTAATAAATAGACCATTCCAACCAACACACAATATTACTACCACAGCCATCACATCCCAAGTATATCAACCCAATATTAACTTAATGACTAATTTCACTCCACTCCACTCCACTCCAGACAAATCCACCACTACCTAACTCCTACCACTACCAACACAAACACCACCACCAACACAACCTAACTACCATCAACTCACTACTAACCTAAACCTAATACAATTTAATGGATATCTTAATTCACAACTCAATCCAGCAAATATCTCAATCCAACATAATACTATCCCAATCCAAGACCAACCTGCCGCCCAGCCAAATATCAATCTAAACACAATATGAACTCAATCTAAACTCCATTTAAGACTAGCATAGGCCAAATACAGCCAGTAATTTATTAAAATATGAACTTGTGTCCAAGGAAGGAGCGACGCGGCCTCAAGGCCTTTAGTGCAATGATTCTTTCGATTCTTCAAAAGGAAAGATCCATGGACTACGCCCGAGTAGCCGAGACAGTTATTGCTTTAGTTGGTGAGTCTTCAGATGACAAGAATGTCCGACGAAGGGTCTATGATGCCCTTAACGTCATGTGTGCTGCTGACGTCATTCGTAAGGAGAAGAAGTTAGTCTATATAGTAGATACTGCCCTATGTACGTGTGCGCCAAATAGTGTAATTGGAGAGACAGATGAGCCCGGAGAAGCTATCTTTCCAGCTATTCGTAAGATAAGAGAACGTATTGCTGAGAAACAAGCTACTCTGGAGGAGACTAAGAATAGAAGAGAGTTACTTCTGTCTTTGATTAAGAGGAATCGTGAGAGACAGGATAGTGAAGAAAAAGATCGGTTGTACTTTCCTTTTATTCTTATCAGTACTGAGAAGCGCACTCGGGTTGATTGTGAAACTAATGATAGGAGGTCTTATTTTAAGTTTATATTTGATAACAGCTATCGCATCTATGAAGATGTGTACATACTAAGGAAGCTTTTTGATAAGAGAGAGACCTGTCATTTGTTACAGCCTTCTTTGGCTGGACTTTGTGAGCAAGAAAACCTTACGGATAATATTGGACTGGGACAAGCTCATGATAAGTCCATGGAAACTTCTTTAGCCGGATCACCACCCTCTCTATTCACTGAAGAGGAAGACTGGCTTAACCTATATAACTTCCTCAACTAACAAGTGCTTGCTAAGTGCTTAAGGAGATAATAAACATCCATGTATTAAGTTGTCTGTAGTTAAGTATATGTGTTAGTATTGTGTAGGTATATGTGTTAGTATTGTGTAAGCATTGTGTAAGTATTATGTAAGTATATGTGTAAGTCTGGGTTAGTATGACACCTAACCGTATACTAACCGTATACTAACCGTATAATAACCCTATACCAACCTTATACTAACCTTATTGCTATCTATAACCTGGCCCATACTAATCCCTGCTTATCTAAACCTATTTAAACTACATTCAATACAACTTAGTATGATACTAACTCATTTTATTCTTTGCGGTGGTAGTGTATGCAATATAGATTAGTTAATGTCTTGGATATTTCTCAGCCTTTATTGGACCATTCTGAGAAGAAGAGTCCTAGTCTGTTGAAGGCGGTTGCCTTAAATGAAGAAGATAAGATGGTTGTGTTGTACTTAGAGATGGATGGTCTTTCGTTTGGTAGAGGCACTGTCTTTACTACTAATGAGTATCCGATCATTAAAATGTCACAGGCTAAGATAGTAGCCAAAACAAACTATGCGGTAGATAAGCAAATGTTACAGGAGCTTTTAGATAACATGAAGGCAAAAAGGTAAAACACCATCATATCTATTTCTCTTACATGCAAGAGAAGCTGCATAATAACCTAGAATGTTCGCTCTGTTTATGCACGCGCTAATTATTCTATTAGGATTTCTCTTTGTTAATGGGTCTAATTATACTGGAAACAATGGGCTTATCTGCTTTGACTCCATGGACGGACTGAACCTTGGTGTCTCGGCCACGGCGCAGGCACTTTCGCAAATGGCTTCTATGTCCTACAGTTGTGCGCCGCAGATGTATGCTCTAGCCGGTGCTACGGCTGCTGCTCAGCCGGTGGTTGCTCAAGTGGCGGCAGCTCCTGTAGTGGCGAGTCAGTCGAGTGCTGCTGCTAATGCTGCCGCTATAGCTAATGCGATGGGCATTGCTCAGTTGGTGGCTGCTCAACCGGTAGCGGCAGTGGCTCCAGCCCAGGTTATGGCGGCAGCAGCGGCGCCTGCTCAAGTAGTCTCTGTGCCACAAATGGTATCGACCCAGCAAGTCGTGGCCACCCCGCAAATTATGACTAGTCAGCCCGTTGTTGCAGCCTCTCAGATAGTAGCAGCTGCTCAACCGGCCCAAGTAGTGGCAGCCCAGCCAGCCCAAGTAGTGACCGCTCAACCAGCCCAGGTAGTAGCTGCTGCCCAGCCGGCCCAAGTAGTAGCTGCCCAGCCCGTGATGGCCACAGCCTCGGCGGCTGCAGGGGCAGGAGCAGCTCCTCAGGTTGTAGCAGCGCTGACTTGCACGCCCGTTAGTGCGTCAACTGCCTTTGCGGCGCCACAAACAACCTCGCAAATGGCCATGGCTGCCAGTGCTGCAAGTTTGGCGAGCGCAGAGCAAGTAGAGAAGCTAGCCCAGGCCGCCAAAGTTGTTCAGGATATCGGGGCCACCGAGGCCCAGCATGCCAAAGATCTAGCACAGGTAGCCCGTATTGCCAACCAAGCTCAAATAGTTGAAAACCAACAAGCCCTTCAGACTTTGCACTATCTCCAACACAACCAGGCTGTTCAGGATGCACAAGTAGCTATACAGAAAGCCGCGAATGCCACTGCAGCAGCCAACTACTTACAGCAGGTGGTTGCCGCGTCACCAATTGTAGCTGCTCCCGCCCAAGTTGTAGCCACCGCACCTGCCCAAGTTGTAGCCGCTCCCGCTCAAGTGATAGCCGCGCCAACTTCCTCTGTAGTAGTGCCAGTTGCCCAGGCTCCAGCTCAGGTCCAAGTACAAGTTCAAGCCCAGCCTCAAGTGCAGGCACATGCTCAACCCATTACTATTACTGCTCCTATGGCTATGCCAGCTGCCACGCCCGTCCGAGTTCCAATGACTATGCCCATGGCCCAATCAGCAGCTATAGCTAAAACCAACCCCGTCTACTACTGTATTCAGGACGGCAATACGCCTGCGCAGTTTGGGCTGGTGCGAATGGGTGCTACTGCGGGTGCCTACCAAGAATGTGTTTGTCCTCCTGTATATGGCGCAGTTTGTGATGAGGAAGGCACAGGAACACTTGGTGCTAGCTTAGCTGCTCGGTTATTAACTGGTCTTGCTCCCGAAGGCGGCGTTTCTCGTAGTGCAGGTCTACTTGGCGGCGCCCAGATGCAGCTGGCGACGGGCGCACCGGGGGAAGCAGCCTGTTTAGACAAGCTCCGAGCCGCTCAAGTTTCAGCTAATCTCCAACAGCTGGTGGCTAGTGGCGGTCTAAACCCTTGCTTAGACTCTATTGGCCGATCAAACTACCTCAATCCGCAACTAACCAACCTTATCTGTTATTGCTAAATAAACTCACGAGTTAGTGTATTATTGAGTTGCTATTACGTTAATATTATGTTGTATTGCGTTAGTGTTTTTGAATTGAATTGGTATTGAATTAAGATATGTTAATGTGATAGTCGTGAGGTGGAGTGGAGTGGCAGAAAGGCTGGATCAGCGTATATTAATAGGTTTAAGTGGAATAAAGTTGATCGTAGTGGTTAGATCAATACGAACAGCTCGGTATCTCTAAAAGTTTTATGCTGCAGTTAGACCAGGCGAGTATTCTAGCACTTGCTAACTCGACTTTACCTTCTAGTTTGCCTTCTGGATCCATTGATTTACTTAGTACTATTCTAGTTAAGGCCGATAAAAAGACCGTTTTATTTGACCAAAATAACAAGCAAGTGACTATTTTAGATCGAACAGTTGGCCGGAATGGCACGCTTACTTATATTCAACTCAGTCCTAACCAGTTCCTGCTTCTATCTGATTATTTCAATACTATACCCGTTTGTGTAAGTAGCGATACAATTTGGATTGGTTATTCACCACCCCAAACGACAACTCAGACACTAACTCGTAACCAAGCAATACTAGCCTCTCGTTCCAACGCCGATCTTTATTATAGCTTATCTGTTATTTCAAAAGAATTACTACCACCAACAAATTCTACTTTAAACAACCTAACACACTCTAGCCTACCTCAATTAGAAGACCTTTTAGTTCAGTCACTAGAAGACTTAGTTGGACAACAATCAACTGTTTTTATTTCCTTTAGTGGTGGCATTGACTCTCTTCTATGCGCTAGTTTAATGGCCAAACATTTTCCTAAAAAGGATATTTATCTAATCAGTACTGCCTTTTCAAAATCAACTGAATTTACTACTAAAGACAGGACTTCGGCCCAGCGCGGTTATGAAGCTATTCGAGCTGTCTACCCAACTTCACTTGTTCTATTGCTCAATGATATATCTCGAGCTGATGTCCTAGCTAACACCGCAGCCATTCAAGCTATTGCTCAAGACCGTACTATGGACTTTAACCTAGCTGCTCTTCATTTCTTTACCGCCCAAAAGGCAGCTGCTTACAACGGTTCGGTTCTTTTCACCGGAACAGGCGGCGATGAACTCTTCCTGGGCTATGCTAAGCACCGAAACACAGCCACACCCGCAGATACAGTTCGCCAGGAGATTGTTCATTTAGACCAAACTAATCTCCATCGCGACTATTTTGCCGCTTCCTTCCACCACATTCATCTAGTCTCTCCCTTTCTAACTAATTCCATCTTCCAATATGCCCTTGCCATTGCCTCACCTGCCACTATCGGCAAACTACCACTTCTTAACCTCCTTGGCATTCTCTTACCAGGCTATACACCACCGCGCAAACTTGCAGGCCAATTCGGATCCGGACTAGCCGATACAGTTCGCTCACTCAAATGCCGAGCCCCCACCCTCTGTCCCAACAACGAGTGCCTTTCCCTCGAGTGTACCCCACCAACTCACCCTACCCCATCTAACTCAACACCATCTAACTCAAACACCATCTAACTCAAACACCACCTAACTCAAACACTAACTCAATACCAACTCAAGTAAACACTAAATAAACATACCTTAATACCAACTTAATACTAACTCAACTCAAGACAAACATATCTTTACTTAAACATACTCCTCAGCCCAGCAAATCCAACCCAAAACATCTTTTAAAACGCCATCAAGTCCCTCAGCAGCCCCACACAAACACTCATCTATTCCACCCTTGGCTCTTTCTCAAACAAAACTCTCCAATTCCTGACTGGTGCATCTTCAAACCATCTGCCAGGGAAAAGTATTTAATAGAGCCAAGGGGGTTTCCTAATGAAACAATACCAAGCCATCGGCAAAATGGTTCTAAGTACAGCAGTGGGTCTTCTTATGGTACGTCCCAGTAGTGCCCTGGCCATGGGACCTTCAGCTCTTGGCCCGGGACCTGCTCTTCCCCAACAATTGTGTGCACCTGAGTTCATGAAAGGAGCAGGCGTGCTTGGCGCAATGGGTATTAACGGTTTAGGTGGTATCGGTGGTGGATACAGAATGGGTTCTCCAACCTTCTGTATAAAGCCAGGCCAGCAACAAGGGGCTATGTTTGACGGCAAAATCTCGCCAGCTCTTAAGAAGTTCTCCAATCTCCAGGCCCTTACCTCGCTTTTGAATCTGCAAGCTATGGACTGCAAAACCAAGAAGGTCAATCCTAAAACACAAGCATGTTTCCTCTACAAGTCAATTGCCAAAAAGGCCAGGGAACCAAACAGCAATGTTTCTACTCTTGGCAATACTCTAGTTATCTCTAAAAAAGGCCGAACTATGGCCATGGTAGTCGTGGAGCGTTTCGGCCGGCTTAGCCCCAAGAAGGAAGAAAAGCCCACCTTTGAGAAGCTTTACAAGGACCCCGGCATGTACACTGCCCAGTTCAACGAATTTGATGATGTTCTTAAGCGAATTGGCCGACCCCATCCCAACAAGCGAGGCAACAAGTGTGCAGAGTGTCTTAACAGTATTAAGACCAGTATTGCCGTTGGCGATGTTGAGTGCGAATGTGAAGATGCCGTCTCTATCAGTCTTGATGATCTCAAAGGCAGTGTCTCCACATAATAGAGATTTCAGAAGAGCCAAACACCTGCTTTCGCTATAATAAATGGCCCTTATGAGTTAAGTTAAGTCTGGGTTAGTATTATGTTGTGTTGAGTTAGTATTGAGTTGTGTTTAAGATACTCAACCAACCCAATCCTTATCTATGATTTTGATTTTGATACTAACCCAATCCATCTCTTAAATGCCAGCATAGCTCAACATCTTACAATACAGTAATATCTTACAACATAGTAACATCTTACAGTAACATCTTAAAGCAGCTCAATATAATAACTCAACTCAACATAACTCAACCTAATATAATAACATCTTACAACAACTTAATATAACATAACTCAACTCAATCTAAACCAAACCCAATACTAAACCTAACTTAACCCAATATTAAACTCAACTTAACCCAATACTAAACCCAATACTAAACCTAACCCAATATTAAACCTAATCTAATACTAACCAATACTAACCCAATACTAAACCTAATCTAATACTAATCTAATACTAATCTAATATAATAAACCAATCTGGATATTTAATCAAATGAATAGCAGCCCTATCTAACCCACTTAGTAGTGCTGAAAAGAAGTCTACAGTTAGATAGCATTATATTTCACAATTACTACATCACTCCATTCTAGACTGCATCCTTCTTCCAAGACAAACCCTATGCTAGCTCTCCAAAGCTCTTCCTCGGCCTTTTCTTATCTCGCCCTCTATCTTAGCGTTTGCTACTTGCTACTCCACTTCAATCTAAACTCACCCTGATCAAAACGACTTACTCCTCTTCCGGACTAACTTCACCACTTACAGCACTACTAGTAGTTGCCTTTTTAGACTCGTCTTCCTTCCGATGGCCAGTAGCTGTAATGGAATACTCCACTCGAATCGGTGTTCCGTTACAGATCTGACTATTAAGCTGCTCTTTAGCTTTAGTAGCCTCTTCTACCGTACTGAAATAGACAAAAGCAAATCCCCGACTAAACCCTGTATGTCTATCTAGTACTAACTCAACCTTATTAAAGCTTAAGTCAGTAGTAAGATGGTCTTTGATCCAATCGGCCAGATCTTTCTCTGAGAGTTTAATGTCTAGTCCAAAGAGTCCTAAGACATTAACTGGTGTTTGTTCGGCTGGATATGGCCTTCTCTTCCGCCAATTAGGTCGCATACGTGTCTCTTCATAGGGTTGAGCACTCCAAGCTCTATCCATGGGTCGGTAGTCATGAAAAGGCAGTCGGTCCATGCGGTAGGGTGGTGGGTAGAGTTTAGGGCCTGAGTAGGGATAGGGCGGTCGTTGCGGTAGGGATGGTAGTAGGGTCTGACGTAGGGAGGTGGTCCGCGGTAGGAGTACTCTTCGGGATAAACTCGGTCAAATTGGCGGTGAGGACGACGGCGGGGTCTTAATGGTAAGGAATTCTTTGGAGGACTTCGATCGTCATCAAAAGCACGAGATTCATTATGTTGTGGGTTCTCGGGATACATGGAGGGCAAAAAAATACAAAATAAATGAATCAAGCTATCAATCTAGCAATCTCATTGATGCGAAGTTGGTGTTGTTTAGAGGCTTTTTTGGCGAGGGTTTGTAGTCTTTTGATGGCTAGGGTTTGGAGGGTGGGGAATGTATGGATTAGTCGGAGGGAAGGGTGGAGTTTAGAGAAGAGGGCGCCATCGGCCGATAAGAGGGAGTTAATGATACCGAGAAGGATGGGGTGAGTGACTGATTGGGGAGTG